AGCATCCTTCTGCTTGTGGGCTTCTTTGTGTTTTTCTATTTCTCAAACACCTTTGTTACCTTCTATTCACTGCACAGACCTAAGAAGAGCTCAGTATTGGATCTGATTAGTGGAGCTTTATCTTCAGGCTATCCAATCGTCTGTCCTTATGTGCTGATGAACAATAGGAAAATTATTTCCAAATTCATTTCCTCCCTTTCAAACTTTGAATGTTCCTTTTCTACAAGAGGCTGTCATGGCTAATTTGAGATCCCTAACCCCCATCTGCCTTAGAGAATTCTTTACCCCATCTGAGCAAAATAACCGTGGTGTTCCTGGGTACCTAATAGTCAGATGGTAGGAATTGACAGATACTGAATTTTTTATCAGTGAAGAGATTTACTTTTTGACACGATAATCAATTAATAATGAAAGCTTTCTTTTCTGTCTTTGGAATGTTGATCTTACACTAGAATTTTCTGAGATAGGAAATCAGAAAGACATTGTTAAACCATAGTACAAAGTAAAACTAAGGAATTATAAAGCTCTTAAATTTTGAACTCCTCTTACCGGCAGATTGAGATTAGAAAAATATATAAAGTATGACTAAGACAAACATTCAAAAATTTAAAAATTATTCAAAGTTGCTTTCATTTTAAATAAGATAATTAATGAAATAGATTTAATAAAGCATGCTGGAGAGATGGCTCAGAGGTTAAGAACACTGGCTGCTATTCCATAGGTCCTGAGATCAATCCCCAGCAACTACATGGTGGCTCACAATTATTTATAATGAGATCTTGTGCCCTCTTATGGCATATAGGAACACATGCAGGCAGAATATTGTACACATAATAAATAAATAATAATTTTTTAAAAAGATTTAATAAAGTATATCATATTAAATAATTTTCATTGTAGAATAAAATAATAACAGACTTTATGTTTTTCATGTGCTGTTGTCTTATTTTGGTTTGGTATTTTTTGTCTGGCTGGGTTTTTGTTTTCGATTTTTGTTTTGGGGCCTTTGTTTGGGGGATTTTGAGAGTACGAAAGAATATTAAGTTGTGTGAGTAGGGAAGAACAGAGCTAGGCGGGGAAAACTAAACTGAAAGCAGGAAAAAGAAGGTGGAATCAGGGAGAAACCATGGAGCCACTGCCAGAGACAGGCATGCTGAAACTTCACCGGTAAGCCACAGTCACATGGCGATACACAGATTAATGGTGATGGGTTAGTTTAGGATATAAGAGTTAGCCAGAAATATGCTTAAGCTATTAGCCAAACAGTATTGCAAATAATATAGTTTCTGTGTGGTTATTTCAGGAGTCTGGGCACCCAGGAACACACAAGTGGACTCCTAGGACATGTATGACCTACCAAAATCAAACATATTTCTAAGGCACAATGAAATTGAAGCAATACTGAAAGGTCTTCCAAAAAGGAAAAAAAAACATGTTGAGCCTTCATCTTTGATCTTCAACATCAAATTGGTACTACTGAGGCACCCAGACTACTGTACTGAGCAGTTACCAGATTCTTAACTTCTCTGGTCTGATGTAAGATGGCCATTATTGGACTAGCCCCACCATGCAGTATAAACCAATTTAATAAATCCTCTTCTAATATGCATTCATTCTGTTTGTTCTGTTCCTCTAGTGAATACAGACTAATACAGATTATCACCATGTTCAGATTCAGACACTTAAAGATGAACTGACAGCAACAGCCTTCAAACTAGTCCATAACATTAATAAGGAAAGGAGCATTGCCAGTCTGTTTCTGGTATACCACTATTACCTTAACACCAAAATCAAACGGAAACTTGGCAAAAACCGCAAAGACCACCTCCTCTGATGAAAAAGTCTCTTATTGAAATATGAACAAGTAGGGTGGTGGTATTACATGCCTTTAATCCCAGAACTTGGGAGGTAGAAGCAGGCAGATCTGAGTTTTAGGCCAGCCTAGTCTACAGAGAAAGTTCCAGGACAGCCAGGGCTTGACAGAGAAACCTTGTTTTTGAAAGAAAGGAGAGAGAGAGAGAGAGAGAGAGAAAGAGAGAGAGAGAGAGAGAGAGAAGAAAAGGAAGAAAGAAAGAAAGAAAAAGAATGAGAGAGAGAGACAAAAAAGAAAGGAAGGAAGGAAGGGAGAGATAAGGAGAGAGGGAGGGAGGAAAGAAATATGAACAAATCAAAATCAAAACGTCACCTTAACAGATCATATATAACATTCAAGTTGGTTTCCTTCTGGGAAAAGCAAGAATGGTTCAACATACACAAGTCAATAAAATAATACATCACATAAAATGGACTCACAGACAAGAACCATTTGATTATCTTAATAGTGCAGAATGAGCCTTTAGCAAAATTCAACACCTTTCAACACCATGAAGGAATTAGAGAAACAGACCTTTTTATGTCAATATTATACTAAATGGAGAAAAAAGCATTCCCACTAAAATCAGGAATGATGCCAGACATAGTAGTGCACACCTTTAATCCCAGTACTCAGGAAGCAAAGGCAGGTGGGTCTTTATGAGTTCAAGGCTAGCCTGGTCTATACAGTGAGTTCCAAGACAGCCAAAGATACTCAGAGAGACCTTGTCCCCCACCCCGCAAAAAAAAATAATGATGATGATGATGATAACAGTAATAATAATAATAATATCAGGAATCAGCCAAGGATGACCACTCAGCTCTTACTGGATGTAGTACTTGAAGTCTTAGCCAGAGGAATAAGACATAAGGAAGAAATAAAAAAGATACAAATGGAAAAGAAGGCAAATTATCCCCATTTACAGATGACATAAATCTACAACTAAAATGTCTTAATAATGTTACCAGAAAAGTCTTAGTTTCTGACAACTTTTATCAAAGTAATAAGATACAATATCAAGAAACTAAAGTTAGTAAATTTTATATGTAGAAATAATGAGCATGCTGAAAAACCAAGAAAAAACTCCCAATGATGGTAACCTAAAACTAGACTACCTGGCAGACACAGCTTAGCTCTTTTCCTTCTAGCCCATCTGCATTTGTGTCAGCCACTGATCTGCAGAAACAGGGAAGTCCAGTGGCCACACTGGCCTGGGACTCAGGTAGGAAATTCTCACTATCCTTCCATTCTCCATTCACTCTCTCCTGGCTTCCTTACGAATCCTGTAGCAGAGTGCTTGCAGAAGCCCCTCTTCCCACTACACCTCCATTCCCTGAGGACTCCACCTCTTAGTGCAGACCTAACACCCCTCCTTCTTTTCTGCAGGCCCTCTTAACCTTTCCTCCTAACCCATCTTCATTCTTCTCTGCCGCCACTGAGCTGCAGAAGTACTCTCTAACAAGGACTCCACGGCCACCACAGGTGCCTAGGATCCAGAGAGAGCAAACAGCAATCAAAGAACAGAGAAACCACCCAACAAAGACCAGACATCAACATCAAGAAACAGTTCATCATAACTCCATATGCACAAAACCACAAACAAGAATATCCAAGACAGTACACCTCCACCATAACCCACTATCCCTATTATAGTAAACCCTAAGGTTTGCCGTACAGTGAAAGCACAAGACAAGGACTTCAAAATAGCTATTATGACTGTATGTCATAAAACTTAAAAGGGAATATGAATAAATCCCTTAATGAAGTCTGAGGAAATACAAAGAGTTGAATAAAACAATGAAAGCTATTTCATTAGAGATATGAAAGTAGAAGCAGAATCACAAAAGAAAATCCAAACTGAAATCAAACTGGAAATGAAAAATTCAGGAATCCAAGCAAAAACCTCAAAGGTAAGCCTCACCAACAGAGTACAAGATAGGAAAGACAGAATCTTGGGCATTGAAGACAAGATAGAAGAAATGAATAGTTCAGTCAAAGAAAATGTCAAATCTTTAAAAATATAGGCATAAAACAGCCAAGAAATCCAAGACACTATGAAAAGACCAAATCTATGAAAAATAGGGGAAAAGGAGAGAGAAGAAACTCAAGCCAAAGGTACAGAAAATATTTTTAACAAAATCATAGAAGAAATTTTCTCCAATCTAAAGAAAGAAGTGCCTATTATAGTACAGGATGCACAAAATACCAAATATACTGGACCAAAAAAGATATTCCCCACAGCACATAATCAAAACACTAAACATACAGAATAAATAGAGTACTAAAATACCGAGTAACATATAAAGGGTGTATTAGCATTACACCCGATTTCTCAATGAAGTTTCTAAAAACCAGAAGGGCTTGGATGGATGTTCTATGAACACTAAGAGATCACAGATGTCAGCCCAGACTACTATACCCAACAAAGCTATCAATCACAATAGGCAAAGAAAAACACTCCACAATAAAACCAAATTCAAACAATCTCTACCTACCAACTAAGTTACAGAGAAAGCAGTAGAAGGATAACTTTAACCTGAAGACGTTAGTCACACCCAAGAAGACATAGGAATAAATAATCCCAGTTCAGCAAATCAAAACTTGAAGAGGGGGCACTGAAGCATTAATCTAATTAATCTTTATCAATAAAAAATTGGGAGTCAAATATTGGGATAAGATCCTGGAAGATAAGAGAACAGGGAGCAACCGCCAGTTGTCTCCTACCTCTTTTGTTTCTTTGTCTAAAAGGACCAAGGTCCTCTCTGCCCTGCGTTACTACCTCCAGTCCTCTCTCTCTACAGTCCTCCCAACCTGTATGGTTAATTTTGGTCAGCCAGTGGCTGGTCCTGCCCCCTGACTCTAAGCAAACTTTGTCAGAACATAATCAAAATATCACACCTTTCCCCCTTTTTGTCTAAATAAAAAGTGGCAATTTTATATAGACATATAACAGGAAAAAAACAGGAATCAATAAATACTGCTCATTGATAACTGTCAACATTAATAGTCCCAATTCCCCAATATAAAAACACTGTCTAAAAAACTGGATTAGAAGACAGAATCCATCTTTCTGCTTCTTTCAAGAAACAAACCACAAACCTCGCCATCAAAGATAGATATCACCTCAGAGTGAAAAGATGGAAAAGGACTGGGCAGATGTGGCGCACGCTTTTAATCCCAGCTCTGGGGAGGCAGAGGCAGGCAGATCTCTATGAGTTCGAGGCCAGCCTGGTGTACAGAGCGGTTTACAGGACAGGCTCCAAAGCTACAGAGAAACCCTGTCTCGCAGGAGTGTGGCGGGGAAGAGAAGGTGGACAAGGAATTCTGCTTAGGTTGGTGCTAGCCAAACACAGGCCAGTGAGGGCTCTCAAGGTCGAGGATGGTGGGAAGATATCCACATGCCCCGTGATGAGCAAATATATGGTTGGAGAAA